GCTGCACATTCCAGCCACGCTGTAGACTGTACTGTACCTATGACTGACATCCCTCAGATGCACAGCTTTAGCACATTTCTGTTTTGATTGATGCCTTTTAAAATCCAGCCCAGCTGTTCTGTGCATTAGGAGATGGTCTCCTGGGTGGTAGTGCACAAGGATTCAACAGGGTTCCCTCAAAGTTCAAGACAGCAGGTGTGTTGAAGTCAGATAATTTGCTCTCTGTCTTGGTCTGTCACACAGGTCTCGAGTCAGAGCACATTTCATAAGGAACACAATTGTCACCCCTTAACACCTGCTCTATAAAGTCATCCTCCTGCACCAGAGGCAACCTTACAGGGTGTATACCTTTTGAGGCATGCAAACTACAGACATTTTTCTCTGCAGGTACATTTTGTACAGCTGGCCCCTTCCTTCAAAACCTTCCTAGACCCCTTGCATTACTGCAAAAATAAGAGGAACCATCAGAAAAGTTCCAGTGTCCTGGCATGGGTAGGACTGACTAACCTAGGACAAATGTTGTGCACTGCATGAGACTTGCTTTCAGTTGCTGAGTACACTTGACTGCAGCAGCTTCCCAGCTTCCCAGATACATCAATTGTTATCGGGTTTTTTTGTGATGGGTGAGTCATTACCAAGGGAGGAGGCCCAACTACCAGGTGTGTGTGGATACTTGGAAGCCTTAGAAGGACAAGGGGGAGTATGTTTGACCCTGATAGCAGCTAAAAATGCCCCTTTCACAAAGCTGGGCAGCACCCTGTCTTTCTTTGGAGATTACACAACTTAAGGCAGCCTCTGGCCCACAGACAGACAAACTTAGAAAGAGACACACACTCCTTTGCTGGTAGGGACAAAAGAAGCTCTGCAAAAGGGATCTAGAACTGGCAGGACTGGTTGGTGTGGAGCAAAGAGACGGGCAACTACCTTTGTATCCTCCTGTATGCAAGTTGGGTTACATTATGGGCTTCTAGGCTGAAAGTTTCTTCCCCTCTATTCAGCACTGGTCAGGCCACATCTGTAATACTGTGTCCAGTATTGCACTCCCCACTACAGAAAGGATGTGGACAAATTGGAGAGGGCCCAGCAGAGGGCAATGAAAATGGTGAGAGGGCTGGGGCACATGAGTTATGAGGAGAGGCTGAGGGAACTGGGTTTATTTAGTCTAGAGAAGAGAAGACCAAGGCGATCTAATGGCAGGCTTCAACTACCTGAAGGGTGGTCCCAAAGACAATGGAGCTGACTGCTGTCAGTGATGACAGATCAAGGAGCAATGATCTCAAGTTGAAACATGGGAAGTTTAGGTTAGATATTAGGAAAAACTTTCTCATTAGGAGGGTAGTTAAACATTGGAGCAGACTACCCAGAGAGGTTGTGGAATCTCTTTCCTTTGAGACCCGGCTAAACAAAGCTTTAGCTGGGATGTTCTAGTTGAGGACAGTCCTTCTTTGAGCAGGGGGTTGCACTAGATGACCTCCTGAGGTCCCTTCCAATCCTAAATGTCTGAGTCTATGATTGTAGGGTGAGTTAGCTGGTAACATCAGTTGACTCTCTTCCTGACACAATGATTATGGCAGATGAGCACAAGCTCAGTAAGTGCTGTAGGAGTCTAGTGAGAGATGGCAGGGGCAATGGCTTAGCAAGTTGCCCCATATGCACAGTGGGGTCTTCATGTGTTTGCTCACATATTCTAGTATAACACACTGCAGGAGAGAAGACAATAAGCTTTATCTAGTGAGATACGAGGTACAGGTCAGAGAATGAAGGAGTGTGTCAGTGAGAAGCTGCACATTGCTGTGCTTGGAGCAGAGACAGGTGTAAACTCTTCCCTAGCCCTTCCTACTTCCCCATTTGTCACCTTGTTATCAGAGAGAGAAACTGCATGATACACACTTGAAGTGAGACTAAGCAGATCACAAGTGCGACAGCAATATTCCTTCCATTATCCACCTTCCTGCTTGCAGCCTTCCCAAGGACTCCCCTGATAGCTTTCCTTTTTCAGCGCCTTACTTATCAGTAGAAACCAGGGGGTCAAGAGCTCTTGCCTTTTGACTGTGGGACACTGTTCTGAGGAGTTTTCTGGGAGTCCCAGAGAGTTGTAATGTGCAGTCAGGGGCATGGATTCAGGACACGCAGTTGAAGTATTTCTTCCCACTCTTTGCACTTTGAGCTGGCGAAGAGTGGGTTGGGGCTGACCAGCCTAGAGACACCAGGTCTTTGTTTATCCACAACAAGGAGCCAAATAAATAGTGGCAGACTCCCCTTGGGCACCTCTCGGTCCTGAGAGAACCACCTCAAAGGTAGATTCCTCTGCTGAGGCTATAAGCTGAGGCTACAAGCAGTGCCCCGAGTGCCTTCAAGACTGTGATCTCGACATGTGTCCAGTGCAAATAATGGTGAGACCCATCAATCTCATTGTCCACAGGCCAGCATTCTCTCTAAGAGAACCGCTGCTCTTTGGTGATGAACAACAAACTTGTTTATATTTAGAGACATTATATGACCTCCAAAGATTCCCATAAGGCCCTTTCCCCTGAATCTTCTTGTCTGTGCCAACAGCTCCTTCCAAGTCTCCTTTGGGAAGACAATGGCTAGTTTTCATAAATGACTGTCTTGTGTCCCAGCTGCTGTACTGGAAGCGTCCATCTGCTGCTGGCAAGACTCCAAATGTTGTTTAGGCTGCTTGCATGTAAGAAAACTCTGCCACCATACATAACAGAACACAACTTACTCTGCTGATGTAAGCATCCTGGCACCAGAGAGAAGGCCACACTGCTTCTAGGAAGACAGAGTCAATAGTACAGACATATCAGGGTTCAATCCCAAATCAGAGTGGTATTGGAAAGGTGGCCATGAAAAAGACACCCTGCATGTTTAAGGACTTCTTTCCCTTTCCAGGCACATAACTACATGGAGGGCAGGGTAGATTTGTACCTTATAGACTAAACAAAGGGTGTGTATGTGTACACAAACATATATAGAGAGCACAAGCTTCCACGAATTGAAGCACACTTGATCAGATGCATGTTCAGATTGTCTATGGTCCTAAATACCTCACAGTCTCAGGGCTACGTTATATTCCACCTATTAAATGTGTAAGTGAACTTAAGCACCTAAGTGCAACTCTCTTTCACCCAGCTCAAATCCCTGAAAAACAAAGCAAAACTTCAGTAAGTGGATTTTCCTCCTCCTCATTCTTGCTGCTTTTTTTAAGACCTGGTGTTAAGGCTAAGAGGACAGTGTATTACAAAAATAGAAGCTTTAATGTTTTTTTCAGGAACTCAAACAGGGTGGAATAGAATTGCATTTATGCATTTAAGTGCATGTAGATGCCTAATAGGGGAAACAGGATTGGGCCTTTAATTTACACTGCGTCTTGAAGTGGGAGAGTAACTCCTACATTGCCTGTCCCAGCCCCTGAAAACCCCCATTTTCCCCTTTCTCTGCTTCAGCTAGAGCCCTTGAAGCACACCATTGCACTTAACAGCCAATACAAATGCTTCTGAGTGCTGTCATCACAGTTGTGTTAAGCCAGGAGAGGGAGCCACACACTAGCAAGCTGCCTCCATCACTCCCCCATCTGGACCATTGGAAGATAGTAGTCTGCATCTTATCATCTCTGGAGGGTTGGAATAGCAGGTTTGAAAAGCTCCTGATTTTCCAGATTCTGATCCCTGCAGCCAGCTCTGGATATACGAATGAGAAGCAGATAAACAGAAATTGGAAATAAAATCAGTTTGAAGGGCAACGACTCAAATGTATCAATGCCCTTCTATGGTACTTGCTAGTGGTCCTCAACCTTTTCAGAGTCAAAGCACCCTTCACACCTTTTTTTCAATTTCAACATACCCCCAGTTGTGAACCACTTTTGTATTGCCTCAGCTTATCTCAGTGATTCGCAGTCAGGGTGCTGCCATATGTTTCTGCCTAAAGCTAGCAGGAGTAAAGGCATAACTAATATGTTTCATGCCCTGGACAAATGTCTCCTGTAAATCTGGGGGGCAACGGTATGACTAGTGGGGAGGAGGATCATCTTACCTGCCCTGGATGTCCCTGTACTCAGCTTCTCCAGCCAGGAGGTACAAACGGCTGCTCCAGCCCAGCCTGACCCCTCTGGACAAGCAGTGTTAATGATCTGCGGCTGGAGCATACACTCTTGCCACAGCCCTTCCCAGTCTGACCCTGTATGCTCCTCTTGGAAACATGGGAGGGGTGTGGGACAGTCCCACCTGCCTGTTTCTGGGATGAGTGTAGGGGTCAGACTAAAACGGGCTGCAGGAAGGATGTAGGCAGTTCCTCCTAGCTGTGGTACTACCTGCGCTGCAGCACCCCGGAAGGGTGTCACAGTCCCTCACTTGAGATCCACTGACAGACTGTAAGCACAAGTAGATTCCAGGGGCACAGGTTTCATCATTCTCAACAGTGCCCTCTGATCCTCATCTCAGGCTGGCCCACAATATAAACCCACTATTCCCACTGCAGAAGCTTTCGTTTCGGCAGTTGTGGTGTCTGCATAGCCCACCTGTACTTCCTCCCTTCCAGACTCTCCTCTCAGATCAGCTTTCAACTGTAGTTCTAAGCAGTTTGAAGCATGTATGTACCTCAATCTGGCATGAGCTTCTTGGGGTTGGCTTTGGGCACCCCCATGAGGCAATTGCATGTAAAAACCAGGTTCTGTATCCGAATGGCGGAACTCAGCAAAGCCATTCCAGGGAATGTCCCTATGCAAGATGCTATGCAATATACATACAGCTCAAGATTATCCAAAATATGGTCTTGACCTGAGATGCAATTATTCATTGCATTAACCATCCTCCCTTGCATTGGCCATCCACTCTTGCTACCTGGCTGTACCTACTGTACCCCATGACAGTCACGGACATTCTTTTTTGTGGAGGTGTTTGGGACAGCAAGTGAGATATTTTGGGAGACGTGCTGCATGCAACAGCTAACACTCTCTGCATATGCATTGTTGACACTTTGCTGTTGTTTTATTAATTAAGGAACCCAGGTGAGCTTCTCTAAATCATCTGATGCCTTTGCCTTTGAAGAGGATAGTAGCAATGATGACTTGTCCCCCGAGCAGGCCAGAGGTGAAGAATCCCAAGGCTCCACAGAGTCAGCAGCAGGCACTAAAAGCTCAGAGCCAATTTCCTCTGCCACATCAGGAACAACTCAGGTAAACAAAGAAAGTACGCAGTGGCGGGCCTGAGCTCACGTGTTATGAGCCAACATGGAGAAACCTATTCTCTGTGCCCAATGGGAACATTTGAGCATGTGATGAACCCAGTATCCCAAGCACTCTGACTCCATGGATACATTGTGCCAGGAAGCAGGGGCATTTATGCTCTTGGTCAGGCAAAGCTGAGCACCCAGAAAAGTTGTTTTGGGATTACTGTGTGGCTGCTGTAGCCTCTCTCCAGCACCTAGTAGTTACAAATGCTAGCTGTCTATACTACACACATACACACAAATGCTAGCTGTGTATACTCCACACACACACGCACACACATGCAGTCACAGCACCAGGATAGCTTCCCCCACCTCCCCAAGCTGGCACCTGGCAGAACCTGGAGGTCCCATGGCAGGGGGGCAGAGCAGGGCAGCAGTAGTCCTGGCCTGGTTTGTGTGGATCCTGTTGGGTGCAGTTTGCCCCTGATGCAGGTGCACAAGTAGATGTGTGCCCAAGAGTGCTTTAATGAGCCTGAATTTTCTGCTCAGAAAATTCAGGCACATTAATTGCAGATGTAAACACACCCACTTTGATGGTAGCTTTGAGAGCTTGAAGCTGTCAGCTTTTCTTCTTGGAAACTGTAGGAAGGAGAAGAAATAAGAGAGAGGACAAGGAGAGTCCTTCCAGACACCAAGAAAAAATGAGGGGCCTAGTGAATGGATGGAAGCAGGCATAGAGCAGATTAAAAACTCAGCTCCAGGGCAAGGCTCTTTTTTTAATTAAAATAGCATCTCTGTGAATTTAGGAGTCAGCTGCCAGCAGCTGCCTCTGGAGTTATAGCCCCTGGATCCCAGTGCATCTCTTGGTATTGGTACATGGCTTTGGGAGAAGCAATCTCTTTCACCAGTCCTCAGTGAGTTAATTTTTGCTGCCTTTGGTCAGTAAATGAATACCTTTGAATGCAATAAGCAATGTGAGAGTAGGTGAAGGCAAGCTATTCCAGGAGATTCAGAGCATTGCTGTCTTCCAACAGGTGCTGAGCACCTGATAAAGGAACCTGACAACTTCAGTAGACACATGGCAACTCCGCAGCAGAGGGGATGTCAGTTCCATGGCCCTTACCTGACACCCCAGGAACTGTGTCCTGGCAGGGACCAACACAGCTGGGGGCCTAGACTCAGATTCTTGCAGGAACAAACATGTGCTTTCCCTTCAAAACTGCTGGTGAAACAGTGGTTAGTATGATAGCCTTGAGCAAGACCCGTTCCAGGGGCCAGATTCTGTTTCATCTGCTATGCGTGTAAGAGGGCTTAGGCAACTATGTGTGATTCTTTTCAACCCTGTTCAAGACATGAAAAGCTATGGATGCAGCTACTTCTGTATCTGAATCTGGTCCTAAATGCACAGGCTATCACAACAGGGTGATCAGCCTCCAGCGGTCACAGAGAGCAAAGGGGTGTCCTGTGAAAGATCGCAAGCAATAGTTAACCTGGAAGTGACAGATTCTTGGCTTATATGACCCTCTATACTTCCATGCCTTTGTTACACAATGTACTTGGCACCGGGGGCTTCAATTTTCCAAGTACTTATGGCAAGTAGCCAAATGATTGTCTATTTGGTTTGTCTAATTGTACTGGACTGATAAAATGCTTTCAGTCTCAGTTGTATAAACCGAGGCAGGGACATTTGAACCTACAGATGGGAAGATTTGCTGTGCCTTGAACTTAGAAATCACTTTGTTCTGAATAAGACTCTAAAAATATCTGCATATATGGCCCATGCAAACTGCCAGAGCAGGCTGCCCTCCTGACCCAGGCATAGATCAGGGTCTTTGATGGGAACAAGATTTTGTTCCATTTTTCTGGCATTTTCTATTGGATGGAGGAGTTTTTGCCAAATGGGCTTTGGCTGTGCTCTGCTTAAGTGTCAGCAAAGGGTCTGCAGGAGCAGAGTCCCTCAGTTTCTGTGGCATCGGCTTTGCTGCTGGCGGCGCAGCATGTTAGCTACTCAGTCCTGTTAACCTTATTCTCATTTGTATGTTGGAAAAACAAGCCCTGGCACAGGCTAGCACATGTGCAAGCTGAGGCTGCCTGGGGGTGAGAACAGGGTTAGACATGGGCTAGAGGCTTCTCAGGCCCCAGTGCACCATAGTCGTGCCTGAGGAGACAATGCAGTCAGCACGGAGTGCTCAAATGAGGAGCTCTGCTGCCAGACATGGTGCCAGGCCTGACCTTGGTACAAAGTAAGAGAATTTACTATCAGAGTAGCAGTGGTCTCAGCGCAGGATCAAAGTCTCTGCTTCACCATACCTACTCCTTACATTCCCCAGCTTGAGGAGCTATTGCTGAAGCCCAGTCAGCCTCCTGCTCTTCTTGTGGGCTTTGGAGCCTGAGGCAGGCAACCAAAGCATGTTCAAGGAGGGCAATCTCTGCTTCCCATAGAAATGCTGTTATTCATCCATGGAAGGTGGTAGAGTCATGCACAGTTAGGGGTGCTGTGATCCATGATGGGATTGCAAAGTATGGGTTTCCTTATGCTTTCTATATTCCTTGGGGGTTAAATGCTACCTACTAATGGTAATTGACTCTTAGTTACAGGTTCATACCCATGGCTCTGAAAACAATGTGACTGATTTGACTTCAGTGCAAAGTAGCCAGTGTGAAAGCCCAAAGCAGGTGCATAACCAACTTCCAGTGCCCACGGCAGTAAAGGTAACGTACCCTCCTCATCACCTTACCAAGACAGTCCTAAGAAAGATAACATGAGGAGTGGAGTTTTGCTGGTTGAAGTTCATCTACATTTTCTTATTTTATATTCAAATTATGTTTAACCCACAAAAATAAAGCCCACCCAGAGCTGTGTAAAGGCAGGCATAACTGTTAGGATGTGCTGCTATCTACTGGAGGACAAGGACCTTGTTAATATTTACTTCACCTCCCTGGTTAAAATTCTTCTCCCAGGTCACCATGGCAGATAATGACCCAAATATTCTGCTTTGTTTTCATTCATGGTCCTCCCAGGGGTGGAGTCTATTTGTCCTCTCATACATGCAAGGGAAATTTGAGCCTCATATTGTTGACTTATCTCTTCTCCCAGCTGTTTGTCCAGTGAAGTGCCAAAAACCAGCTCTCTGTAAAGCAACCAAGATCCTTGTCTTACCTCACTCACTCACACCTATTAGCTCAGTTCAGTGCTCTAAGTGAAGAAGCTATCGATCCAGCCTCACTACACTCTGCAGCTTTTCAAACATTAGGAATGGAGCCTTTCAATGCAATTGAACTGAAACCTCTCTGCAACCTGAGTTTGAATGCACTGAATACTCTGATTAACAATTCCACTTAACCCAGAGTTAAACAGCGCGTGCCCTTGCTGGCAGGGAATTTGGGGGGGAGGTTCTGAGTGGGTCGGGATTAGTTATACAAACTATTTCTGAGCCTGGACGAAAACAAGCTAAACAGAGGCTGAACTAACAAAGTAGAAGTGATTCTAATGACAGGATAATGTGGAGAATTTCAACAATGGCAACTTGCAGGCTGAAAGTGCTGTGTAGCCTTGTGTGAGATTCATGATGCTCTTGCTTTTATGGAGTATGGAGTTCTCCTGCATTCCCAGAGCTGTAGTAGTCATTGGTCTTTACAACTGGGGTGATGATAATGATCATTTTTTTCTGAGGAGGCCCTGCAGACTAATTTCCAGTTGCATAGGCCTCCTCAGAAAAAAGGTAGAACCCTTTTTGGAGCAGAACCCTGTTCTACTTTTCCTACCAACATGGTAGTTTTCCAGACCCACCACCATCATTTTTTAAACTTGTACACAGTTTGAAATCCTGCTTTCTGTGCAGCATGGACACATAATTACTGAAATGTTGGCCTGGAATGAGAGAGGCCCTCTCATGTTTTAGACCTAATCGTTAGTGGTTAGGCACTTCACCAGGATGTGGAAGACCCTTTTTTTAGGCCTTTTTGTGCCAAGAGAATTTGAATCCGTGTCTCTCCAGTGTTGGCACTGTGCTCTAATCACCATACAACAGGCTAGGCATCCAGGCACCACTCCTGTGCTTCTTTTGAAACAGAACTAGTGCACATTGCATTTAATAGTCATATAGAAATGGACAGAAGAGAGAAAGGACAAGTCTACCCCACTCAAAACAAGTTGTTCAGACTATAAATCAAGGTCTGCTTCTTTCTAGGACAGCAGCTATCTCACTGAACCTCATATACTCTGGCTTGTCCTTTTCTACACGAACCCATGTATCTCCCTGTTGGCAGCATAGAGGTCCAGATTCAAAAGAAGGACTGGAGGGAGACTGCATGACATCTAATCTGCAGCCTTGCAGTTAGAGCACTGAGCTAGTATGCAATCTTCTTTGCATGCTCAGTACCTCGGTGGATGTTTATGTGCCTACATTGGACATAGAACAGAACCACAAACTATGCATAAATGTAAAAACTCTCAGTTATACAGTTGGAAACTTCCATTTGGGCCTGTAAAGTGCAACAGAAATCTGCTCTAGAGTGGTGCTGCCTGGGGTTGTGCTGAAGGAATATGCAAAACCTTACCCTGGCACACCACATAGCTGTCTACTTGCTTAGCAGCACTGGGCATAGCGAGGACCGTGATATTCGCTGTTCAGAGTGGTTACTGGTTCCTAGCTTGCTTCTCGGTGCTTCACTCTCAATGAACCTTCCCCTTCCAGCAGCCTCCTCTCTTGTTTGTTCACCAGGACTCCCAACCTCTTCATTTGAGGAGCTACTTTTTCCCTGTCCTGTGTTGGGTCTAATTGTCCCATCTAGGGTTAATCTCTTCAAGACAGGAAATGAGCTAATCTACCCCACTACTGGATTCCTAGCTGGATTTCTCCTGTGCACTGACCCAGTAGCCACAATTAATGAACTCTCACTGACAGGTCTGAGAGTTGAGTATCTGTAGGTTGGGCTAAGGATAGGACTTGCATCCATTTTGGTCTGAAGGAGACCCAACTGGGTGGACTTTTGGGACTTGTATAAAGTCTGTCTGTTCAAACCTAGGGGACATATCTTAGCTTTGGTAGCTGAGGATCCCCTCATTTTATATTGATTTTAATTATCTAGGCAACTACACATGGGGATTTTCTATTTGAGGCATTAAAATCAAAACAGCAACATCTCCAAGTCCAGAGCAGTCCCAATATGTGCAGTTCCCTAGATTCTGATCATCAGACTTTACCACATTGTCTACTGGCTAAAAGGGTAGGTGTTACACATTAGGATTACAGATGCAAGACAAAAGAGACTGTTGGGCAGAGGACTCCCCTTGGACTCTCTCTGTAACTCTAGCATGACTGGAATTAAGTGCATCACATACGCAGGTTCAGGGTTTGGTCTGGCAACAACCTGGAGGAATGGACCAATAGGCCCCCACCATTAGGATCACATATTTTTATCCCCTGATCGGTGTCTGTGAGGGGACAGGATGTGCCCTCCTCTTGTTTACATGACTAAAATTTACAGATAAGAATGACTTCATCTTCACCAGCCTCTAGCTCAGGGGTTAATTTCTCAGCTAATCCCTGTCCTTCTCTCTCTACAACACACAGTCAAAGTCTTCTGGTGATAGCAAGAACCGCCACAAAAAGCCCAAGGATACCAAGCCAAAAGTGAAGAAGCTGAAGTATCACCAGTACATCCCACCTGACCAGAAGGCTGAGAAATCTCCTCCTCCCATGGACTCAGCCTATGCCAGACTCCTCCAGCAGCAGCAGCTCTTTCTGCAGCTGCAAATCCTCAGCCAACAGCAGCAGCAGCAGCACTTCAGCTATCAAGGAATCCACCAAGCTCAGCTTAAGTGAGTCAGCAGCCTCTGCTCATTATTCTGAGGGTCCCAGAGTTGCTTCTCTGACCACCTACGTTTTCCATGCAGTTTCCATGTTTATGCCTGTGTGCCTGTTTGTACGAGCTCTCTGCTCTGTGTGGGAGACTTGCAAATGTGGCCCCATCACAACCTTATTCATGTTCCTATTGGCCAGTCATCCCTCATTTCTGAGAATCCATTAAATTAACTTGAAGGCTCATATCAAGCGTAGTGGCTTCTTAACCTGGCAGGGGAAATACCATGTATCTGTGTCCAAAAAGGCAGTTTTCCTGAACCGCTTTGCAGGAGAACTGCTCTTCTGGTGTGGTTCAGTACCCGCCAAGGTGCAGCAGCTTTAAGCCCAGTTTCTGGAAATGGGAGTCTCCTCCCTTGCTTGCTCTGACGGCCTTATGGCTGAGGGCAAGCAAAACTCGGGGACTTCAAAACCCCAAGCTTCCAGGCTTGGGCCTGCATGTAGGATGCCCGCCAAAGGTTTTGGAAGCATCTGAAGCCCCAGGTGCAGGTGGAGGATGTTTGCCGGTAGTAGGGCCACTTACGGTTCTGCGCTCTTGGATTTGGAATTAGTTTTGACTAATTTGGACTCGGATACAAAATTAAAAATAATAATAATAATGTTGAATACTAAACATCCTCAATACAACGTCTCCAGCTCAACTGTACAGGCAAAAATGGGGTAAAGTTCTGCGGGCTCCTCCTGAGATCTTTGCTGGAGCTCTTCCATGTCCTTTTCTTGGGTCTCCAATATTCTTTACAATCCCCTTCTCAATTGAGTGCGTAACCTCCTGGCACCTGTTAGCCCTTCAGACATACCTTTAAGCAATAAGAGAAATCTCCAAGGTAGCCACAAAGCCATGCTGTCGCTCTGGAGGGGCTCTCCTCCGGCTATCCAAGTTGGTAGCAGTAAATATGGCACTGAGTGCTGTTACCAAAACTGGGTGTTCTTACAATAAACATATCCACTGTCATTTCAGGCATTCAAGTGAACAAATGGTCAAAAGCTCAAACTCTTCATCAACTCCTGTGAACAATACCCCTCTTTCTTCAGTGAAAACTACTTTTTCAGGACAGAGCTGTGTGTCTTCTATGAAACCAGGCCCTCTGCCTTCTAACCTGGATGATCTGAAGGTGAGTGTTAACCTCCTTTCCTTTTTTACCTAGTAACAAACTGTTTTGAAGTTTCTTGGAATTGAGGGGATGCCGTAGCCGTGATGATCGAGGAAAAGTGTGAGGGGCAAGGATTTCTGTAGATATCTTTTACTGAAAAAAAACATATAGTTGGGAGGGACATAGACAAGCTTTTAGGCACCATGCTGCCTTCTTCAGGACTCTGAGAAGAAAGCAGACACAGCAGAGCTAAATAGCAAATAGAACAAGGCCTATGCAAAACTCCAGGCTGCCTTTGTGCAGTAAACACTTTCACCAAACCCTGGGCACAGCAGTGGGCATAACAATGGCTCCCCAATATGCCAACCTCTTCATGAGCTATCTAGAGAAGAATTTTTTTTTAAAGTGTGCCACCAAACCTGCATTACATATATGATATTTTCTTCATCTGAACTGAACACCTGGACTTGCTTATTGACTTCTACCACAGATTCAACAACTACCACCCTTCAGTCAAATTCTCTCTGGAATATTGCTATGCTAACATAACTTTCTCGATACCATGATCTATATCCAAGATGGCACCCTATGAACCATCATATACAAAAAATTATGGACCACCACACTTACATCCACAAAAACAGTGATCATCCAAAACACATCAAAAAAGCTGTAATTATAGTCAGGTCCTCAGATACCACCACATCTACTCTGAGGAGAATACTCGTGATAGCCACTTTGCTAAACTGAAAACTACCTTTACCCAGCAAGGATACTCCAACAGAGGAGTAGACTGTATCTTTGAGAAAGTCACCCAAATATTCACAGCAATGTGTTACCATACAAGAAGAAAACTCCGACTGACTTGCTTGTCACCTACCTTCTCACATTTAACCCCATAAGAAAGATCATCAGTTACAGCCTGTACTTGAAAATGACCAGATCTTGACAGAAATAGTTCCAGCTAGTTCTACCCAAGCTATGCTACTAACTGGACTCAAGCTCACTGGATAGATGTATTAATACCACATTTACTCAAATATAAGACAACCCTGAATATAAGACGCCCCCCAAATAATAAGATTCTATATATGAAAAATGTATAAATTTGTTATCATTTTCCAGTTATAGAATCTAATTAGTGGAGATCTGCCTTGAATGTGTCCCCCTCCCACTGATACAGCAGAGAAAATAAATCTGGGGGATCAGGTAGCCTTCTTGCCCTCTGCCCCCAGACCCTCTTCCCTCTTCAGCCCCTTCCCCCTGTCCTTAATTTCAAACCCTACTCTCCCTGAGCCCAGGGAAGTTAAGAGCAAACTACACATTCATTAATGCACCATAATTATGGCACACTAAGTTTAGTACCTCTAATAACAGGTACTAACTTAATGCGCCATAATTGGCTCTATTGCACATTACCACAGATGAACACTTTTTATGTGATGTTTAACACCCATTGGACTAAAGGTACTGTGCATTAGCACAGATGAATGCTTTTTTGTGATGCTTAATGCCTAGTACACTAATCTACTGCACATCAGTGTATTACCATGGTTTTTCCCAGCCACACTAACATACAATAGAATTAATGCAATGGGCATCAAGTGCCTCATGTAGACATGCCCACTGATCTTGAAATAAACATACCAGTGGTAATTTGCATATAGTATCCAGAGACTTAGATCACTCAGAATTGATACATTTTTACCTTTGCTTAAAAGTGTGCTTATGGAATACCTGTGCTAAAATTTGTAGCAGCTTCAAAAAAGGTAAAATGCATCAATTCAGGGCTTATTTATACATATATAGGTGCCACAAAGTGTGTTTATGGAATACCTATACCAAAGGTTGAACAAACTTTTTCTTTTTGTAATATATATACACACACACACACACACACACACACACGATGTTATATATAACTACACACCAAGTATCACTCCGCAAAGAAAACCTTAGCCCATTATAGAAATTGCGTCCGTGCAGCCCATGCACCCATTCAAAGGCCCGCTGGCCACCCAGACCCGTTACAATATCCACACTGCGTGCTGCACCCACAAACAAACTCTGGTCTCTCAAACCAAGCAACCCCTTTCTTTCATCCCCACCCTGCTTGCAGGGTCACATACTCAGTTCACCTTTCGTCCATGTGACTGTCACTCTAGCTCCCACTGGAGGACCCGCTACTGCTGTCGGTGTTGCTGTCCTCAGTTCCATTTGTCTCTTCCTCTTCCTTGCTGTCATCACCCTCTTCCCCGCTAGGGGGAAGTTAGAAGATCCTGTGCCATGTGTCTTTGTGCATGATATTAAACCAGAACCAAAAGGGTCTAAATTTAGCCTAGTGATCATTTGGCTGGGCCCCTGCAGAGTCAACAGCATTTAAAGTCATGGTGACTCCACAGCTAAGCACTGCTCACTCAGTACATATGTGTACTCCAGATACCCTCCACAAAGGATCCTTGTGCTAATTAACACCACACTCAGCACTAGAACTGGGTGTTCTTGTCATGAGTCCTGGGATCCTCCAAAATTTACACACAGATGAGGCACAGGCCAACCTGATCCAACTCCACTTCATGGAAAGTAGGCCCACACTAATCATATGCAACAAGCTGAGAGAGGAGTGACATAGAGATTCTGGGCAAATGGTTTGGAGCCCCATTTGGCAATGTTTGCCAGACATTTAAAGCTGGTAAAGAAACAGGAATCATTAGAAATGGGAAAGAAGGTGCAGCTCAGCTGTGGGAGTGAAGAGGAAGATGAAATGTATTCAGTGTAGTAACTCATCATGACTTTTTTAAAAGAGTCAGTGCTGAGGGGACCTGCACTCAATGGGTACTAATATCTATGTTATTCAGGTAGGTTGGACCAACTTATTTTTGTGATAGATTACTTGATTTGGCTGATTTGGCTTGGAACATGAAAAAATTATTTTAAAAAATAAGATAGACTAATATATAAGTTATTTAAGCAGGTTGTACCAACTCATTTTTGTAATAGGTTCTTATCAACATGTTTGTCCAATATGGACAATATGTTTTATAGCCATGGTCAATATTAACTGAATTTATTCAGTTTCATGGTTGGTTTCCATTATTGAGCACATACTGCTTTTTGCATCAAAGTATTTCGTAAGTTTTTCTTACATGCAATTATGAGTTAAGGAGCTTTTTTCCCAGTATGCTGATGGTGGGGGAGGGGATTTTATCAAGTAAATATGGTATCTATTAAATAGAACAGTTAGAGATATTTCTTCTGACACCTTTAAATCAATGATGGTGGATGCTGTGCTACTACCCAGCTTGTCCACAGGTGGCAGATACTGGAGTGACCTTCAGGAAAGGTTATCTGTGAAATAAGCAGGGGTGATGCTGACAAATAAGTAGTCACAAACCAAGCAGTGGCATCACCACCAAGATAAGGTTGGGGCAGCAGATGGCAATACTCTCCTTCCTGGAAAGCCACATATATCCTCTGACAGCACTATAACACGGCAAGTATAGGTCTCTACTATAAAAAGCCTGTCCAGCCCTCAGCCATGGGTTTACAAGTCCTCAACAGCAGAGCAGGTGGAAGAGGATGTTAGAATCTCAAGAGCTGTGAAGGCAGATGAAGGCTGCAGTGGAACAAGATCTCCAATTATCTTGGCCTCTTTGCCATTGGATCAAGGTCCCACGTGGAAGCTGATGTGTAGCAGTTTCTCCAAGATAAAAGAACTCACAAGCATCTTCCATGAAAACAGATTTAGCATATATTTCAAGCTCTTTGGCAACCAGTTAGTGACGACAGGAGAAGGATTTTGAGGCCTGGAAGCTCCTAGTCATGAACTGGCATGAAGGCAGCAATTACAAGAAGGTTGTCTAGTCCAACATCAATTTCACTGAACTGGTCACATCATTCAGATATCTGACTCCAGATTCATGAAGCAAGTTTTATTCTCCTAGCTCAGTCAAGGCATACGCTGAAGAGGATAGCAGAGAAAGTGCTTCAAGGATGTTTTCAAGGCCAGTTTGAAAAAAAAAGCAACATCAACTCATGAGAGAGTATTGTGCAGGATCACCCCAACTGGAGGAAGAGTCTGCTGCAAAGATCTTAGGACTTTGAAACCTCATGATGACAACAGGAGACAGAACAGCGGGAGCAGCAGAAACACACTGTTTCACTGTTGCACACTGAACCAAGAATCCAGAGCCACCCAGTCCCCATGGAAACACTTGTGTGAGTTGCAGTAGGACCTGTCAATCCCAGATTGACCTGTAATCCACCTTCAAACCCACGGATAAAACAACTGCAGAAGACAATCATCCTCAACTGCAAGGGATTGCCAGTGGCGATGGATGCCAGGGAGAGTAATGAACAGCAGATCACTCTAGCTGTACCCTGTTCAGTGCTCTCCCTCTAAAGCATCCACTCCTGCCACTGTGAAACACAGGATACTGTGCTAGATGGACCATTAATCTGACCCAGTGTGGCACTTCTTATGTTCTTATGCCACAACTTTAAGGGCAATTAAGGAGAAGCATCCAGTGGTACTAGGCTTTCAAACAGCCCCCTAACGTTGCCCAACTCATCATCAGAAGTGAACTCCTATGATCAACAGGCCTTTCATAGGACCCAATCCTGCCTTAACAATAGGTGCAAAACCGGTCAGGTCATCTCTACTGCCACAGTGATCAATACCCTCCACACTGGAAACAACTGAATTCACAGATGCTGCATACGTCTATCCCAGACTGTGGTATACCTCATCCAGTGCACCAAATGCCAGCGTGGAAACTATGTGGGCAACACCAGACAAAAATACGCACCAGAAAGAGCGATCATGGAATAAAGATAAAGGACAGAGATACTAGAACACAGGTAGGAGAACATTTTCTACAGAAAAACATCATTCTCTTTCCGGTCTCTCAGTTCTCCTGCTCAAATTTACAAAACATCTTAAGAGACAACCCTGAGAACAAAAGTACATTAGCACTTAAGACACTAAGCACCAGGTAATTAACACAGACATTAACATAATG